AAGAACCCTCCCAACACGCCAGAGCTCCGCCCAATTGAGAAATACTGGGCTATTGTCAAGCGGAACCTAAAGAAGACCAAAAAACTGCTAAGGGCGAGCAGCAGTTCAAGGCAAACTGGCTTTCTGCGGCGAAGAAGGTGGACAAGGTGGCTGTACAAAATCTGATGGCAGGGGTCAAGCGTAAGGCCCGGCAATTCGGATTTGGAAAAACGGAAGCCTAACTGAATATTTTTCCTGAATTTTATACTAATTGAACTTGAAAAAGAAATTTAATTTGATTTTTTAAATAAACGATTTCACCGATTTACACGCGTTTTCCCTTGACCAAATTTTGACCATATCACCCTTTAGAAGCGTTTGAGAACAGTAAGAAAGCACTAGCAGAAGAAGCGTTACTATATTACCAGATCCAGATAAACCTTTAGGGCTTCTAGTAGATGCTTCTAACACCGCGGCCGGAGCCGTTCTGCAGCAATGTGTCAACGGGACTTGGCAGCCGTTAGGTTTTTATTCGGAGAAATAAACCCCGGGCCAACGAAGCTATTCCACTTTTGGACGGGAGCTAATAGCTATGAAAATGGCCGTAAGGTACTTCAGACATCTGTTAGAGGGCCGCCGATTTACGATTTTTACCGATAATAACCCTCTAACGCATGCTATGACTTCGAATTCTGCCTGTCGTCTGGCCCACGAAGAGAGAGCGTTACAGTACATTTCACAATTTACCACGGACATCAAACACATCAGTGGAAAGCTTAATATTACTGCAGACACGCTCTCCAGAGTAGACACGATTAGTTGTCCATCTCCAATCGATTACAAAATCATTGCATTGGACCAGGACAATGACCGAGAACTCCATAAATTACTCAGCTCGACGAGTTCTTCGTTAACGGCGCCGGTGGTGTAGTGGTAAGCGTGATTACCTCTCACCCCAGCAGGCCTGGGTTCAATCCCAGTCAGCGCCGCCGGGATGTTCTGAGGCATAACATCTCTGATCACGCCTTCCTTCGGATGGGAAGTAAAGCCCGGTTCATGAGTTGATGGGTCGATAGGTAGGGTCCAGGTGTGGGAGCTGCCTTCCTGGCACGTCGGTAGCATTGGTGCTCAGCACGGAAAACAAGATCGACGGAAAAAACAAACCAAAGAAAAAAAAAAAAAAAAAAAGAGTTCTTCGTTGAATCTGAAACAAGTTACCCTGCAGCTGTGTTCAAAACCACTTTATTGTGACGTCTCCGTAAATGGTTGCACTCGTCCGTACATACCAGAGCCGCATCGCCGCATGATTATGGAGCACTTCCACAACATTGCTCATCCTGGCATACGAGCAACTCGTAGGTTTTTGTCCAGTAGATTCGTTTGGCCAAAAATGAACAAAGACATCGCCGAGTTCGTGAGAAATTGTGTGGCTTGCCAAAAATCAAAGGTTCACCGTCAGTGGCGGGCCTCCATACAAAGGTCGGACAAAATCTCATATGTTATCCGAAATGGCTAAAACTCACAGGTTAAGATGATTTTGGTATCCTGAATGTATTTCTGATATGAAACTTTTCATATATTTTGGTTTTATTATATTAGGGTGGTTCTAAATTATGAAAATCAGCTCATTTTGGGTTAAGTAAAAAGTAATCAATAATAAGCTATCACGATGTGTTAGTTGAATGGAGATTCTGATTAAAAGGGTTATTAGGGGGTTCTGAAATCATTATTGATATTGAAATTAACTTTACTTGTGTATTTTTTTGCTCTTAGGGTGGTCCAAAAGCTATAAAATCATATAAATTATTTAAAAAGTTCGATTACCTACGTTTTTCATTCAATGGATCGATTCAGCTACACACACATGTTAGCTGACAAAACTGATTGGTATTCTTAGGGACCGTCCATAAACCACGTGACGTTTTTAAGGTGCGAACTCAGAGCTAAGTTAATGCTGAAGTTGATGTTATATAAGGATTCATTTCTTTTACGATTTACAATGGGATCAGATAGTCTCAAGTTGTGAACTACGTAAAATGTGAACTGTCCCTTACCAATCTCATTTCAACGCTTTCATACATGCTCCTCTGAGTGTGGGCTATAATATACATTGATCTTTTTTTCTAACTTGTCGAAGAGATACCATACAGCGCGCTGCAGCGAACAAAAGAATGATGATACCTCATCTCATTTTACTTGTCGAAAGTGAAACAAATGTCAATACACATTCGCAATACCGAACGGAGTTGCTGATAAACAATCATCAGTGATCGGTGATCATATTGATAAAAAGTAGAGTTCCAGCAAATACTTTCAAATTGTTAATCACTCTTTGTGTGGTTTAGTGGAAATGTGCTCGAAGAAAAACGGTATAGATAACACACAATGAAATTTCTAGTTATATTAGAAGTAATATTTGTTTATATTTTATAGAAGTTTACTTAAAAAGAAAAGACGTATTGGAGGGTGCTCTGAACTGCAGCGATGTGCGTGTAGAGCAGAAACGCATAGCTGTCAACCAATATGTGTCGCTATATGTTGGATGTACGGTAGAAGGTCGTGATGAGATCGTTTCCAAGCTTTTTAAGGAGTTTCAACGAATATGGCAGAGTGCGAATCGAAAAAAGGATCAGTTTTTGAAGACCAATGAGCAATGGTTTGTAGTTATTGTTTCGTGTTTTTTACGGTTGATTATTTTTTGCTTTTATTTAATTTCTTAGGTTAGAAGAGTTCGTCGTTTTTGGTGAAGCAACATCATCTTCAACAATGCGGAATGTAGGTGGTCGTCCTTCAAAAGATTTTGAAGACGTTTGTGATCGAACCAAGCGGCGAAAAACAGAAGTGTTGCGTAAATCATTTACTCCGCAAGAACTGAAATTTGCTGCAGGAATGGCTTTGCAAGCAGAAGGAAATGCGGAATTGGCTTCGTTACTAAAGAAAGGCACCTGCACGACAAGCATTCCGATTGAGCATGCTTTGGCAATATATGTCGACGCAAAACTTTCGAAAAGAAGATACAATATCATTCGCGCATTCGTTAAATTTTTTATCCATCTTATGAAAAAATATCTTCTTCGAAAAATGAGTGCTTTCCATCACTTGAGCACTTTGAAATTACGGAGACTTCTTCAATATTAATACCTTTTACCTGTTAATATTCTAATCGTATCGTTCTTATTATCTACAGGTAACACCGCGAGACGTTTCTTCAAAAATGCTGAGATTTCATCTCAAATCACTGGAATTGATCTTGATCTTATCATTCGATTGAGAACGTTTCATCTGGAGAATCCGTTGACCCAGAAAAATTCCACCAATATGCAAAAGAGACAGCCAAACGCTATGCTTCTTTATATGGATGGCATAATATGCCTACAACGCTCCATAAGTTGCTTGTCCATAGGTATAAAATAATAAATAACGCATTGCTTCCCATTGGTCGTATGTCCGAAGAAGCCCAGGTAGCAATGAATAAAGAAATTAGGCAGCTAAGAAAGCATCACGCGTGGAAAGGTTCACGCAAGCAAACAATGAAAGATATATGTTGTGGATTGCTTGTTGCATCCGATCCCATTGTTTCAAGTTATCGCCATGGGCAAACGGTAGTGGCAGATGAATTGCCTAAAGACGTGCAAGATGTGTTGATAGTTGAAGATTGCGATGAATAAATGTTAGTTTGTTTAATAAATGTTTGTTTATAGAAATAAAAGTTAAATTTTAATAATTTTTTGGTGTCCCAAATTGATTACGTAATTGACTGTTTAAACGCTACTCAAACTGTTTATCAAAACTCTCAAATCACTTTTTTTCTGGAATGAAACCTCTCCGAAAATAAAAGTCTTAACAAATAAAGGCTAAATCATTCTTAGTCATCACTCTCCTCCTCTCCACCTTACTGTTTTTTTTTACCTAATATGTAACACTCACCTCCTTGTGGTCTTTTGTCCGTAGAAAAATTCTAAAATTTGTTAGGGCCGTGGTCATGTTTGTTCTCCTGCTGAGTTGGTGTACGGGCAAACTTTACGTGTACCAGGAGAATTTTTCGAGCCGCCGGAGCAGAATACAAGTAGAGCAAATTTTTCGTCGGACCTTCGTCGTGCTCTGGACCAGATTAGACCGATCGAAGCCAAACATCACACCAAAGGAAAGTTTTTCGTAAGCAAGAGTTTGAAGGACTGTACACATGTGTTCGTTCGCTACGACGCTGTTAAGAAATCGCTCCAGAGGCCATACGACGGACCTTACCGTGTGATCGATCGTACGGACAAGTACATGGACGTAATGATCAACCAGAAACTTGAAAGAATATCGATCGATCGCATTAAGCCAGCACACACTAGTACGGACATGCCGTCCGACTGACCTGAAGGTAAAAAGACTTTAGTTACACCAACGGGCCACCGCGTTAGGTTCTTGGTGTAACTGGGGGGGGGGGGGGGGCACTGTGGAGATTGGCACACTCCTGGTGGCCACTGACATTCAGAGAGAGAGAGACGACTTCCGGAGGGAGAGGCAGAAAAAGTGAATCGCGAACGAGTCACGACGCGAAGAATTGAAGCGGAAATAAATACAAGTTAAATCGTTGATTTTGCGTTCGTTTATTTGGTCTTCCATATCCGTCCGTGTCTGTACACCACACTCTTTTATTGCACTCGAAACAATAAAGCACTTAACTGATTGGAAATTTGTTAGAAAACTGTCACTATGCGTCTATTCCGTACGATAGCTGAACACGGACTGTGTTCGAAACAAATACAAAACTAACCTACGATTAATTTCTTTAGATATATTATTGAGAAGGATATGATTGATATCTCTGAGTTGGGGGCCCCATCCAAATTGGGGGCCTTGGTCTTAGCCCACCATTTCCGTACCGTTAATACGGCACTGATCCGAACTGAAAAGCTGCCGATTCTGGGGAATTATAATCGAGTTAAACTTTAAATACCTTAACAACTCAACGACCTAGGCCACTAATGCCCGACACTAATGAAAGCCTCTCTCTTCTATCTTTATTCCAGACCCTAGCTCGGCTTGACACATCCTACTGAGGTAAGTTAAAGCATCGTGCTAGCATTACAAACACACCTAACAAAATCAGCTAACGCAAATAACTCTTTGATGACGTTTGAGACCACACGGTATCATTATGCGTGTAACATCAAACGACCACTTTCATCAATTGTCCGAACCTAATGAGCAACCAGTCACCAGGGGAGGTCGGGGGCCACTTCAATTTGCTCCAATTAATTACATCCCGTTCTGTCGACAACTATAATAATGATGACGCGAACAAAAGCAAAACTACCACCACCCACATCGATGATGTTATGCCACCCCTAACCCTGACCCTCCCTGCCTCTGTGGTTTGCTAGGTGGGCTGAGCGCGGGTGCAACAAAGCAAAATTAATATCGCAATCCTGGGGCTTATCCCGGGCGCCGGGATTTTCGATATGCGATAAATTATGCAACCGTCCGTCACGTGCTACTGGGGAGTGCACGTGGGTGTCTATGCGCTTAATCTCTTCCACGGGCAGCGTTAATCCCGGATGCCGTCGTCGGTTAATTTACTTTTTTTGTTTTTTTATTTTATCCGGCCCTGAACCACCCAGCTTCCAATTAAGATCGAATTTCCAGGATCAATCGACCCGAAACGGAATGGGTGGTGGTGGTGCCACTGATGATCCCAATGATTATTTTCACCCACTTTTCGATGACGTGCATATCCGGTACCAAAGCCGAAGTGCCTCTATTTCCATGTAAAGTAGAGTACCATTACTGCTCCGGATTGCTGTCTGGATAGTCCGATAAACGATGAACAACAACTAGAACGTCGTTCAGGACAACGACAACATTCATAGCCGGTAAGGTGATAATATCCTGGGTCTGTAGGGAGTTATAAAATCGAATCGAATATTGGCTCTTGCCGGAGCCGGGGAGGAAACTCGGTCGGTGCCAGTTTGGAAAATGGGCTCCGCACCCGGAATAAGGGCGTGGTTCGGTGAAGATTGGAAAGGATTATGAGCTTCTGGTTCCGGATGTCGGTGATGCTGGGACTTTGCGGAAGGTGGAAGGCGAAGTTGTTATTAGTTTATTCTCTGGTTAGGAGGGTAAGGGAAAAGGATATTGTTGTGAGCATAGGTTTACGATTTGTGATTTATTAAATTTTACGGGAGGAAAGATGTGCTGTGCTTTAGCAACTTTTTTTTTTATCTAGTTCGTTTATTTGTAAGGCTCAATCGCGTTAGCTTAACGGAGCCGATAATTTATTGTTCTTTGTTTGTAACAAAATTCACTTAATTCTATGTCTAGTAGGAGTTGGGCCGAATACTCGCGGCTTACTCGAGGTTAGAGAGGTACATTGTCGAAGGATAGGAAAAGGGGAGGAGCTTGGGAGTAGGGTTTCGTTGTCATGAATCACTTGTTTCATGGACAGATCATATTCAATTGAGGAACTGCGATTGGTGAGGTCTGGCACGGTCTGGAGTATAACAAGGAAGACACATATCCGAGGATATGTAGTGGTGGTAGATTCTCATTAATCGAGATTGTGTGTTCAGCCCAAGGATTTCTTCAAAATTTGGAATTATAAGTGTGTTCTTCACTCCGAATTTGATCAGTATTATGATAGAGCTCCCAGAAACGGGTCTGGAGGGGTTTTACTCCTGCCAGAACCTCGAGACTCATGTAATGCGTTGAGTGCATACAGCCGAGAGCAATACGCAGACAACGATATTGAATTCGTTCCAATTTTATTAGGTGACATTTTCTTGCCGAGAGAAAGCAGAAAGAGCCGTACTCTAGAACAGAGAGAATTGTTGTTTTATAAAGCGTTATGAGGTCTCCCGGATAAGCACCCCACCATGTGCCGCAAATTGAACGGAGAAAGTTGATCCTCTGCTGACATTTTTGCTTCAAATACGTAATATGGGTATTCCAAGTGCACTTTGAATCAAACCAGACCCCAAGGTACTTGAAAGACAATGATTGAGTAATGTTTCTGCCCAAAAGATTAAGCTGCATTTGGGCTGGGTACCGCTTTCGAGTAAACACTACCAGTTCAGTTTTCTGCGGCGAGAATTCGATCCCTAGATTCCTAGCCCAAGACGACAAGTTATCTAAGGAACTTTGCAATGGTCCTCGTAAGTCCACGGCATGTGGACCTCTTATGGAAACCACACCGTCATCTGCAAGTTGTCTTAGCGTGCATTGTTCTGCCAAACAGTTGTCGATATCTTTGACATAAAAGTTATAAAGAAGAGGGCTGAGACATGAGCCTTGGGGCAGGCCCATGTAGCTAATTCTGGAAGTTGTCAGTTGTCCAAGGGAAAAGTTCATTTGCTTTTCTGACAACAAATTGTACAAAAATCAAAAGTCCCCTTAATGTCCAAGAATACTGAAGCCAATTGCTCCTTGTGCGCAAAGGCCAGTTGAATATCTGTGGAAAGCAGCACTAGACAATCGTTTGTTCCTTTGCTCTTGCGGAACCCAAACTGTGTATTTGATAGCAAGTTATTTGTTTCGATCCACTGATCGAGTCTCCGAAGGATCATTTTCTCCAACAATTTCCTAATGCACGAGAGCATCGCAATTGGACGGTATGAGTTATGGTCAGACGCTGGTTTGCCAGGTTTTCGAATGGCTATTACTTTGACCTGTCTCCATTCAGGCGGTATAATGTTGTTTTCAAGTAAGGCATTGAATAAGTCTAGCAAGCGTCTTTTAGCGATATCTAGGAGATATTTCAGAAGATTGAATTTAATCATATCGCTTCCCGATGAGGAGTTGTTCGATGAAAGAAGAGCCATAGAGAATTCCAGCATTGTGAATGGTCTATCCAGAGAGCTGCCGCTCGGAGACGCTTCTCGAAGAATGTGTTGTGCTGGAGCTGAGTCCGGACAGACCTTTTTAGCGAAATTGAATATCCATTGGTTGGAGTATTCTTCACTCTCATTAGAAAATGAGCGGTTACGCACGTTGCGAGCCACCCTCCACAAGGTGTTCATTGAGGTTTCGCGTGAGAGTCCCTCGATGACAGTGTTTGGAAATCTGTCAACATGCCATTGAACTGCCGTGTGACAGGTTCGTAGCTGTTCATGAATAGATATTCACAAATTAGTAAAGTGTCAGACACCTTTGCCGAATAAGAGTATTCAGTTGTGTAGCATAGCATAGCATAGCATAGCATAGCATAGCATAAACCAGGTTGCACAATGTCGTAGGTGGTACGAGCTCCAAACTGTTGTTAAGAAGGCGACCCACCTTCATCCGTTGGTGTTAGATAGTAATTTCCCAAGTAACACACAAAACATCTTTCTGAAAAAGAATTAGAACGGCTTGTTGTATTAATGTATTATAAGTGATGTATAAAACATCCCATGTTTTATATGAGGTTTAAAGATATTTTCTTCATACTTCCTTGAATTCAATATTTTCCAAAATAGTTTTCTTGTGCTTTTAACTTTAAATGTTATTTAAACGTGCATCTTATTGTTTTAATATCACTATAAAACTTGTCGTATGCAAAATCAATCTTAGTTGAATTTATAAAGCTCTTGAAGAGATTCTGCACTTTCCAGATTGACGTGGACATTGACGGCGCCATTGAGCCGGACTGTCACTTCACGCAGTCATTGACAGTTTCTTATGAGGTTTTCGGAGGTTTGTTATATAGAAAGTTGAAAACACTCTTTTATGACATCTCATAAATTAATGCAGCTGAAAAGGTGCAGGATGTGCACAGCAAAAAAATAATTTTGATATCACATCAAAGTGGATGCACTACAATCATGTCGAAAATTTCATGTAATTTTTATGACCACATAAATAAACAAATGCAGTAAAAGCAGCGTAATGTCAGTTCATGCATTGTATTAATGATAATTTTGTCATTTTTAGCAAGTAATATTACACCATATTTTCGACATGATTGTAGTGCATCTACTTTGACGTGATATCAAAATTATTTTTTTGCTGTGTGTTATAAGGAGTTGAAAATACATTTAAATAACACTCTGGCAATTAAATGTACACATTGCTGCTTACAAAACTTCTTTATGACGGATCGAAGCAGGCGCGTTGCACAAGAATATAATTTTCATGCCATTGGCAAGAAGATGATGGATACTTATTATTAACCTTTTATCAAGCGGAGTTGGTCTAGTTAGGAAGTAATAAATCTTTCACGCCAAGGCCCTGTGTTCGAATCCCATGCTCATTTTTTTTAATATTTTGCCGTTGGTTTTTATGATTTTTCCAAAACATGTTATAATACCAGTATTTAGTTTTATAAGCTCCACTTCTTGCGCTTTTTAGGTTGTATAAATGTATTAAATGATGTAAATTAAAGTATTATTGATTCTATACGTAAGTCATTGAAAAGTATTTTCAACTTCATTATGACAAGCCGTGTTGCTTGGGTTGTGATTAATTACTACCTCTTAGATAAAGGATGTGTCCCCTCCAACAGACCAGAGCTGTCCTGGCCACGTCCTTGCATCTGGTGGGGAAAGGGGAGGAATGCTAGTCCAACACTTACTTAAGAGAGATGCAGAGAACTCTACGACCCCTCATAAGTGTCACGGGAAGGGTGGATATTTGTTAGTAGGGAGGGTAAGCCATAGGATACGCCCAGCCGGCGTTGCTGGCAATCGTTATATCAAGCATTTAATAAATAGAAGCTGTAAGTAGTTTATCTGTCCGTTGTTGCTGCCCATTACCTAAACATATTATTCAAAACAGTCTTCAGATTTTGGAATTAAGAAACGTTATCAGCTCGATAATGTTGTTCCTTTGCGCCTGAAAATGTTTGTTGATCCTATACATATGCACAATTCATTCTGATAGGAGGTTCTCATGTGTAAAAGTAATTAATAGTATATGGAATCGTAGATTAGAATGAAGATTCGCCCTTGGCCTAACTCCCACTGTCTGGCAATGGCATTATGGATAAAATCTGCCTGCAATCATTTCTTATGAATGCAAGAAGCTTGAACCCGGGAGTTGGAAGGTGACAGCTCTACCGCAGCTACAACAGCCCATTACAAGAACGC